AATTACTGCATAATTATTTATTAGAAAAATCATTGTTATATAAATACCAATCTGGATTTCAGGCATTTCACTCTACAGTGCATCAACTAATTGAAATTTATCATAATGTATGTATAAATCTAGAAAACCGTCATCATGCCTGTCTTGTTTTTTGCGACATTTCCAAAGCTTTTGATCGGGTTTGGCATGTAGGTCTTATACACAAATTAAAAAGCTATGGAATTAATGGAAATATTTTAGTCTGGCTATCCGATTATTTACAGAATTGCCATCAACAAGTCTTCATCCACAATGTTACTTCTCATACTAAAACAACTAATGCTGGTGCACCCCAGTGTTCTGTCTTAGGTCCGCTTCTTTTTCTCTTGTATATCAACGATATAACTGATAACCTTGTCAGCCCTTCCCGTCTTTTTGCTGATCTTCCACAATTGAACTTGAAACTACTACTAACCGAGATCTTGAAAAAAATCATAACTGGGCAGAAAATTGGCTTGTTAAATTTAATCCTAATAAAACTGAAGCACTACCAATTTCAAATACCAATGCTGAGCTTGATGTCAATCTTATTTTTAATAATGTTAATATTGATTTTATTGAACATCATTAACATCTAGGCATTTTCCTAAATGCTAACTGTAAATGGACTCACCATATTGATACCATTTGTAAATCTGTTACGAAACAAATAGGAATTCTCCGCAAGTTAAAATATACTTTAAATCGCAAGACATTGAACAGAATTTATCTTACTTTTATACTCCCTCTGCTTGAATACTGTTGCAAAGTTTGGGACGGTTTGTACAACTGCCGATGCAAATAAACTTGAAAAACTCCAGTTAGAAGCGGCGCGTATTGTCACCGGCCTGCCATCTTTTGCTAGTAGAGCGTCTCCCTTACTTCGAAACTGGTTTGGAAGTCTTGTCTCAACGTCGCACCCGCCGCAAACTTCAACTTTTCTTCAAAATTCACAACAATATAACTCCCTCTTACCTAACTGACCTTCTCCCGCCACTAGTAGCTACTTTAACTCCTTATAATTTGAGAAACTCTGAGAACTATTCCATTCCTAATTTCCGTTTACAATCTTCACTTAACTCGTACATACCTTCTACTTTAAGATTATGGAATGAGCTTGACACTAATCTTAAAACTGCACATTCTTTTAAGAGCTTCACAAACTGCCTCAAAAATGAAAAATTTAAAGTGCCTGTTTTTGTATTTAGCCGGTGACCGTAAGTTAAATATTTTACTAACCAAAGTCCGTCATAAATGCAGCCCTCTAAATGATGATCTCTTTAATGTTAACCTAATCAACGCTCCTATTTGTGCATGTGGATACCCTAATGAAAATGCTCATCATTTCTTTTTTACATGCAGTATATATACTGATCAAAGATTTCAAATGTTTAGAAATCTTCATGAATACTTACCTCTAAGCTTAGAGAAATTATTGTATGGCCATGAAGATTATTCGAGTGACGAAAATAAAAAAATATTTACATGTATATATGTCCAACAGTATGTATCGAGTACTCACACGTTTTAATATGGTCACGTTCTTCTGTCCCCTGTCGAACAGTCCTCATTATCTTTCATATTCATTTCTTAGCTTGTGTCCGTATCACATGGCAAAACGTGCACTTGTGTGTTCTTTATTATTTTAGTAATCCTCTGTAATGTTTAACTTTCTTTTAAGTGCACGAGAGCATGAATGCAAGAAGTGTGCGTGTGCTTGAATGTATGTAATATAGGCATGTGATGGGCCATTCATTTACAGTCAGTGCGGTGGAAACGAATTTTCATGAAAGGATGGAATGAAAAGGAGAAAGCCACTAAGCACGGCACGTGACGAACTGAAAGTAGCTGAAAGTATGATATAGTGCCAGAACATTACTGCGCTGGCTATGCTGGATGGTTCCATTTTCATGACAAATTTTAAAATCTACTATAATTTGTACATAAAAGTAAGAATGAATGTGTGCATAATCTCTCTCTCTCTCTCTCTCTCTCTCTCTCTCTCTCTCTCTCTCAATCATAGATAAATGTAGTGATTTAAACTATGAAAGCCATCTTATGATGTGTATATACAATTATTTATCTTATAAAGAAAGGGCGTTAATAATGTTCATGTACCTTGTGCCCAATCCTTTTGCATTTTTTGGCAATAAAATATGTTTAAACTAAATGTGACAATACAACCACACAGTGAATCTCTCTCTTCTGCAATGAAGTTATCACAGCAAGCTCCAGCAGGAATACAAGCATAAAACACTCTGATGTTAAAGTACACCATAAATAATATGTATTATTCAGTCTGAATTTACGTTTTTTGAAGAAAGAATGCCCAAAATTACCATAAAAAATATATGTTGTGCGTTTCTTTCAGTTTAACGAAAGGCGTCAACGAAATAAACACTTAATTTGTTTGAAACGTCTGATTTTTAGCGTTTTACACACTTCTATGAATCGAAACGTGTATTTCAGAATGCAAAATAAGTCGAGGTGACTGTATCACACACTTCCTTATGTTGTAATGTCTGACGCTAATTTTTTAAAGTGTAATGCACTTCTATGAATCGAAACGTTTATTTTTTAATAAAAACAACCGAGGAGACTGTCACAAACTTCCTTGTTCAGAGAATATGATCCACGGTTAGTTCCTGTAAGGATATCACTGACTGATCCTCTTGTCTAAATTAAAATACTAATTGTCTATAAACATGGTTTGATGACGTCATTGTGTTGTGTTGACGTCATGGTAACAGTGTTATGACGTCATCAACATCAACGTCATAGTTATTCAACATGTTTGTCAAGATGGATGTGACATAGAGGTCCAGTGACATTTGATCCCTGACGAAGGGCTAAGCCCGAAAGCTTGGAAAAGAGTGACTTACAAGTTCATTAAATTAAAATATGTATAATATATCCGTGATGTCATGCTTACTGGTATTTAGTCAGACTTGGCTGCCCTTATCACATATACTTACAAAGAAGGCTATGTATATACAAAAGTTTACATGTGTTCACCTCTTGTTTTGCATCAAATCAGCATATCTATCATACATGTATCTTGATCTCCGATTAATTGATCTAATCACGTACAGTTATTCATTACTTGAGTGGACGGCATGAAAAGTTAAAACATACATGCTCGGTAAGATGTTTCACCTAAACACAAAAAAGGCCGTGAAAGTTTGGTTTGGTTTGGTTTAATTTTGTTTAACGTTCTATTAACAGCTATGTCATTTAAGGAAGTGTCTCCATGTGTGTAGTGTAATCGTGCTTGCGCGGACAGGGACTGTTGGTGTGCTTGCTTCCTTGTGAAATACCATGCCGAAGGCACCCAACACAGCATTCCGCCGGTCACACTATACTGACATGAGGTAAACCAGTCGTTGCCATTCCCTTAAATGCTAAATGTTAAGCAGGGAATAACAACCACCATTTTTAAGGACTTTGGTATGTCCCGGCCTGGCGATAGAACCCATTGCCTTTCTCACCTGGGCGATCGCTCAACATTAAGGCCAAAAGTGAGGTGTTGCCAAGCAAGGCAAGGAAATAATAGGTAGGTAGAAGTAGAAAGAAAGTTAAGGATCCCAAATATTGCAACGGGTGAAGCAGATATATTTTGGTCGCTTTTGTGTCCCAAAACAGAGGACGCCAAAGCAAATCCCCAATTCTGCAGGAGGTTCCACATTAGTCGCCTCCTACGATACATGCAGTGGGTAACATCAATTCAGGTGTATTATTTTCCCGATCGTAAAAGACAAAAAACACCGAGACCTTGCACTTGACATATTCTCTGATAACATGTCACGGGAAAAGGTAAGCCCGGACCAAGATCTACAAGAACGTTAAATAAAACTCTATTTATAGATCTGTGACCTTGACCGTTGACATTACGATCATGATTTTGTTCGAGTGTCATGAGATTGTAGTCATTTGCTCATGTGCTGAAATATGAACGTTAATTCTTTGTTTGTTCTTGAGATGAAGTGTTAACAAGATTTCTGGTAATAAGAATAATAATAAGAAGAAAAAAACAGAACGAAAACAATAGGGATTTCCATCCGAAATGGAAATCCCTAAAAAACAAACAAACAAATCAGTGATATTTAATGAATTATTTTATGTATTCTTCTCTGCTTTCTCCCATTGAACGACCAGTGCAATGTTCTTCTAAGTATAGTACGTGTATTTCTTTAATTGCCTGTGTACTAGTATTGATGTTTTTAACAACACAATAATTGAAAAAGAAAACTCTACTGTTTATATTTAAAAACATAATTCCTGTTCCTTTATTTTGTTGTATTTGTCCAAGCGACCACGTGTCCGACGTGACCGTTATCATTCCTTCCGACGACTCTTCCTTCCTTCATTAACCGACCAGTATAAAGCGACGATCTGTATTAAATGTCTTTGTCTGATGTTAATATGTTTCAAGATTTATTCCCCTTGTACATGGATTTAAACTCGGAATTATAGTAGCGGAAACATACATATTACATACTATGTAATAAATATATATATCACTGATAGTAGTAATACAATTTAATGTATTTATTTAAGTAGAATTGTATTTGTACAATATGAGTAATAACAGTAAATTATACAATGTATCAATCACTTAATTCTGAATAAGCGATATCCGGGGATATAGTGGGCGATAACGCCAAAAAACCTATTCGATTGAGTGATACCTCCTAGCTAAAAACGCGTCCCAAAGATTGTCACTGGTGCCCAATAAATTGTCATTGGCGCCTATCATATTTTGTCACTGGTGCCCAATATATTGCAATAGACTATACAATCAGATCATCTATACAACAGGAGTCTGTGATCTATGAACACGCAAAGTTGTTATTTTAACAGTGAAATTAACCGTGAATCTGAAAGAGGCCTTTTACCAAATGTTTATCCTATGGTTACACGATCCATATGGAACATGTCTCGGTTTTCGTGAACAGTAAAAGCATTGTGAGAATGTCAAAGCAGGGCTTTTCGGTTTTAATTATTTTTCTCGGTATGAAATAAACAATAAACAAATACGTAGAGTATGATGTACCGCACATTTTCATTACGCTCTGAAACGCTTTAAAATAGCATTTCGATGGAGTGTAAGCTTGACAAGAGCTTTCCGATTTTAATTCGTGGATAAAAGATTTATTTTGAGCAGGTGGTGAAGGATTTACTTGCACGTCGACATATAACTCTATGATATAGGTTTACCAATATTTGACGCTTTTAAGCTTCCAAAACCGACCAGAGAAGTAGTGTGAAACACGAAAGTTTTCCAAACTATTTTAGCTTGAGGAAGCATCACGCTAATTACGATACTTTTTTTTTATCATTCTGGCACACTTTTTTCAAATGTTATTTCTGTGCTGCTATTGACGGGAATTCAAGTACTTATACACTGGGAAAATTGACAAAACGTTTTACAACCAAGGGAAATGCAAAAATAACAACAACAAAAAACGATTAATAAGAAAATGTATTGACACAACCTTGAACTTTCTTCTTCACAATTGAAGGAATGGTGATATCATTTCATTATTTTCCCCGGGAAATCATATTTCCTAACAAGACGAATTAAATATTTTATAATTCACTGTGATATTGACAGGACATCTGGTCATAGGAGAAGATTGAAGTATTTGAATGTTTAACGTACCAGATTAAAGCCTGTTTTGAAGTCTGAGCATAAGGAATATTTAATCACAAACAAATATCTCATAAAATAACAAATACAAATTGATGGGGATTGGAGATTCGTTAGAGAACTAATTCACTGTGATGGCATGATTATCTCCCTTGTTGTAATACTTCATTTGAGACGATGAATTTCGAGCTGTGGCGTGAGTGTAACAACCAAACTTTTAAAATTACATTTGTAAATATCGAGGAAATATTGAATCTTTGATGCAACGAAATGTTTTATTTAGTTGTTGATGTATCTGTAATAATTAACGAAAGCACTTTAAACATAATCAAAACTACAATCTCATGACAGATTATAATGTTATTATCGTTGACAAAACATTAATGTGAACAAACATTTAATTAGGTTTGCATAACTTTATATTTAAATTTGCTCTCCATTGTAATGCATTGTGAAGGCAAATGTTGTTATGAGACTATAACAACATTTGCTATTGTAAAGCCATCAATATCTATTGTGACGTCATCAATTTCAATGTTGTCAACACTGAATTTGCTGGTCAAAAACTGTTCAAAATAACTAAATAAAGCATAACTACTCTATCAAATTGTAAAAATAAATAATGAATATTACCAAATACTATTACGCAGCATACATTATAAGCTTATTCCACTGATACTGATATCACTCGAGTCTTGAGCCATATCCACTTCCATGTTTTGGTCATGACAAGAGGTTGGTACACAATTATTTCCGGTGTAAATACTGGTGTCGTGGGAACCGTCTATGAAAATGGACGAAATGTTCCGAAAATAATTTCCGTTGATCTCTAACATACCTTGCTCTATTGTTCGACTTGTGATGTCATAACACTCACTTTGTATGGAGTCAGGGGGAATGAACTCTAATTGGTTATGTAAAATTTGAGAAATATTATCACGCCCCTTTCTCACAGAAACCTGATTCTTTGGGGATACATGTCTTAGATATTTCTCGTCCCTTTGAGATAAAAGTCTGTTTGTATTGATAACACTTTCATATTTGGCCTGATTTTGTATGGACGGTGTTGTGTCTGATGTCTGTTTGTTGTTTTGGTTCATATAGACATTTCGTGATAAATCTAGATTAGCAGAACTATCAGAACTTGGAACCCAAGAACACCCATGATGGCCTGAATCGCGGACTATATCTTCGAATAAAGGATGTACATAGTTTGTCGATTCGAGCGTCCCGGACAGGATAGTGACTGCTGGGTAGATAGACGGGTCCTGACAACGTTTGCCGCTTTTCGTGTATTCATAGATTTCAAAGGGTATTGCTGGATCTTGTCCATTTTCTACAAAGGTAGGGCCACACCTTTCCCGTAACGTTGCAACGTCAGACTGTAGAAATCCGTCTGTTTCCCAGTCATTAATACCAGAGTCGCACATTTCTGCCTTGTTGGTACCTTCCCCTACACGTAAAATTATAGGTATATTTGTAAGTGATGACGATGAGTGAATTATTATAATCTGTTCACTTTTTACTGGGATTTATATATATGCAATTATGAATTACATGATAACAAGTTCAATTTAGATATAGACAAACCCCTAATGCAACGTGTGAAAGTTAATATACAACCAAATGCTTTGGGCAAACATGTATGCATTTAAAATGACATGGATTCTTTAAATGTACAAAGAAAATTCACAACCCCTCATAAACACATGAATCCCCCATCACCATGCAGTTTTGTCATTCTAAGAAATTGGTTACAAGGGGAAATCTAAGTTGCGTGATTGTAACTCCGTGTTCTCGGTCCTGAGATAAGATCATTCGAATTCAAATACACTAATTAAATCTTATTTAGAATTATTTTCAGATTTATCAAATGCAACTTTTGTGAACGAGAGTTGAAGGCGATTTTTTGTTTCAGAAATTTATGAAAAATTTTGATTTCTTTTAATAAGCTTTGAACAAAATGACCATGTGTGTCAAAATTCTGAAAGATATTTGGTGTGTTTTCGGTTATTACACATTTATATACATTGACAATGTGACTCTGTACATTTCGCTTCAGATGACGTGAAGTTGATACCTTATTCAATATTGGGCAGTTTGATATTCAAATTCTCGAAACGTTATCATAGGTATTATGTCACTGTTTAACACATGAAACCATTTAAAGCATAAGGCATTTAAACGTTCAAAGTTACTAACAAACTGGACTAGGGATGCTCACAGAACACATTTTCGGATATCAGGCAAACAAAAAGATGACCGTTTTTGTGTTCAAAGTGCCAAGGCACAGTTCCACTAACATTAAGAGAGAACTATGTCATCAGGGTAACGGCACGCCTTGCGGACTAAAACATCAACTAGCAGAGCCCACTACCCTGTACATGTATCTCGACAGACGAACGTAAGACACAAACGCGTGTTTGTACCTACATGTATAACGTTTGACCATTGGGTGTTTGAATGCCTTGTACATGAGAATGTTTAGTTATATGTGTTAAAAAGGCGACATGATAGTTATAATCACAGTTTTTTGAAATCAAATATCAAACTAGCCCAACAATGATGCAGCCCAAAATCACATATTAGATTAAAAGCCTTCCCGTATTGCAAGTGTGAACAGATGATCAATGAGTTACTGGTCCGAAACGAATTACATGTAGTTTATACGCTTAAAGCTACACGCGTGGATGTATATAATGTGTACACACACATCAGGGTCGTATTGACTGACTGCAGTGTTCAGACATTATGACATGCAATGGAAACTAAGCATCACGTGACAAATGTTTGCATGCACAATCTAACAACACACTAACAAAACAAATAGGATAATCTAGACGAATTTGTCTAATAGCTAAACTGAAGTAGAAACGAAATAGATATGAATATATGAAAATAGTTAATACTTCAATATTACTCAAAGTTTCGAAATTGTTGGAAAATTGATAAAGTAAAGCCGAAATGACCCTCTTTATTATTTTTCCATCATTTTCTCGTTATATATTCCACATAAATGTATTATCAATGGCGTATCAAAAAGTACATAAAACATATGGACTGACATTTATCATGAGCTTACATTCATTCGTTGTCAAATTATAAGAAAGGAGATATTTTCAAACAAACATCAAAGAAATATAATTTGTAAAAAAATAACTATATATTACACAGAATCACTTCATACCTTTCTCGTGTTCTTCTCTCTGCTTAGCATCATCTTGATTGTGTTTTATAACAGCGACCTCGTGAGGAGAGCAGCAATAATGATCTTAAATGAAATACGAGATAAGTTATGGAAATATTTATTGTGAAGTAATGATGACGCTTACAAGCTCCATAATACTCTGAATATCTTTTAAAATGTTGGAAAAGAAGCAAAAATAGCGAGTTGAGTCAATTGACAAAGGATTATTATAAGGGAGTAAATATCAGTTTGATATTTAATGATAGATTCTACGCTGACATTCATGACGAGTATATAAAGATTAAGAAGTACAAATTTATTTTTATTCTCAGAGACAAACATATTTGGAAACAAATACATCATACGGAAAGAAACTACAATTATAAAGATGATGATGAAATTTAATCAGCAACAGTGTTCTGAGTGTAAAAATGTCAGCGTGGCTAGAACGGTAATAGAACCCTGGACTTCAGATTGTTTTACTATCTCTCTAACCGACTGAGCTTCCTGGTCAATGGAAGTGTTCTGGCCAAACTGTGCGAAAAGTTACATACAAAACGATTGTACGGGAAATACTTTTTTTACACAAAAACACACAGTGGAGTGGGACAGTGGTCCTTAAAAACATACTTAATTACATAATGAAAATAAACACGGAATAGCTTTCCATTACATGGTTAAACTTACATCTGTTCCGGACGATCAGCATTACGGACAGTGGGACTAACACCAAGGACGACGATATTACAGTTATGATGATAATTACTTGGGTTGTAGTCAATCCATTGTGTCCTGTGTGTGTCTGTTTATCGGTGAAAGTTGTGTCGAGACCGCTGTTATTATTGGCGAAATGTGCTCCTGTTACTCCCGAGGTTGCATGATACGCTGTTATGACACCGGATGTTGACTCTGCTTCACCGGAAGTATTGTCATTGTCCCATAATGTATCTGTAGGTTTAGTCGTGGTCACCTCATCACTTCTAGTATAGCTCGTACTTACAGTGATATTGTTGTTCGGATAAATCGCCAGTAAATCTGCATATTTCAAATATATAAAAAAGATTGAAAAATAAATAAATAATTGAAAACAAAAACAATCGAAGATTTTGTATCTGCTATTTATGCTACCTAATCATATGTTGCTTAAATCTCATCTTGATATGATATTAATATTTTTTAAAAACATTGAATGTTTCACAACCTTGATTATGTAATTTCTATACCGTCCTATTTGCTTATAGAAGAAATTAGCTTCAATTACTAATATTTACATTTGCATGGCATTGTCACTATATAGCCTCTTTGAAAGCTGTGTCGTTGATGGGACTTTTATTACCATGCATCACGAGACACAATTCTTAGCGTATTAATACAACACTGACCGGAACTACAATATCCAATATAAATAAACATGACGGCTGCTGAAATATCGTTGGTCATTGTGAGATTTGACTATGTCATTGTAAATTTATGTGCAAAAATAAAAAATAAAATAAAAAAAGCACTTTTATTACAACGAAAACAAGAACAAGGTCTGCAATATCGTACGAAATGCACATCGGTTGAAATCACCAATGCCGGCAATGGAAACAATTTTAACGCTCATGCAATTTATCAGAAATATCGTGTGTTACACTGCACTGGTCAACAGGGGTTCGTTACAAATGTCTGAAATACACATATTCTATAGACCTACTGACACATATGTTACAGACCTACTTATATGAGTCACAGCACACATAAACATATCAGACATTTGTGGTTCCTCAGTTTCTGACGACATGTCAAATAACGAGGCTGTTATAGAATCTACCAACTGTTGTCAGGTTCCCATACAATCAACAAATAAATCCACGCCTGGATTCTTTACAAAATGAGCAAAGAGAAAAGTTCGAATTAACTTCCAAAAATAACTCCCTCGTGGAGGGCAAGGTCGGATTTAGGGTGTTCACTGTATTTGTCCATGCGCGAAATTTGTTCCGGGGAAAAATCGAAACAATTTCAAATCTAACTTTCAGCTCAGAGTTCTATTGATAAACTTAAATCACCCTATAGACATATCATACGCAATGGTATTGATACTGAATTGTGGAATAAAATTGAACTATTGAACGAAATTGTGTGGACTGTCGATAAGGCGGGCATTTTTAATCTTAATTATAAATTATAAGTTAAAAAAGAACATAAGAGGCTGAGAAAACGTAAATATAAGTATTGAACTGTTTTTGTATGGTATTTATGATCTATTTAAATAACACAGCTTTGCAAGCAAACAAATCATAATGCGCTAGCGCATACAAAAACAGTTCAATGCTTAAGTCAGGATTTATTCCAATATGCAGTAAAAAAAAATGTTAATCTAGCCACCTCAGGTCCAGTCGCACAAATCAGTTGATATTCACGAGAAAGATTTTTTTTAATATCTATACAAAACTGTCCCATTTATCCTGACGTATCAGAATCCTACTTTTTCGCTGCTGAAAAGAAGGTGGCCTGATTAAAGAAGCTCTACAGTAAAAATGTTAAAATATAACTATAATTGTTCAAAGGTTCAACTTAAATTTGATTGTTTTCTTACTTAGTGTGATTGAATTAGGCCAACTACTTAATGTATGCAGTATGTCTACGTTAGTGATCTAACGCCTCTGTCGAACAGAGTAGCACAGAGGAAGCTTACTCGTGTTATTGGCTTTCAATACAAATTTGTCGCTTGCGAAATTTGTGCTGACGCAGTCACATATATCGTTGGTATAGTAGTCAAAGTCTTCAGGTTCTATTGGACGCATCTGGAATTACACAAAAAAGTGTTTGTGAGATATTGATGTAAGAATTCATTATACATATTGTTTACCGTATTTTCGTATTGCAGAGTTATCTGCTCTTGTGAGCAGGTATGACTGTTACGTCATTGATTTGTGAAAGTAACGTCATCAATTTTTTAGAAAACGTAACAATCAATACCTGCTCACAAGAGAAGATAACTCTGCAATACGCAAAGACGGAATACTGATCAACTGTTGAATTAGTTCTTCGCCGATACGCAATGTTATGCATTGTTATTATATAGAACGCCATAAGCAATGTTGACATCGTTACATCTGAGTAACCTCTAGATACTTTGTATACATTTAAAGTTTCATGATGTCTTTTCAATATATGAGAACGTTGTTGTCGGTAATTACAGAGACATGATTGATCAACATACTGAAGTTACAACATCAAACGATCAGACATTATGCTTGGTTACTTCCTAAAAGCTACGATTGTATGATATATATTCGGAGGTTTCATAATTATAGTTTAAACGCTATGGATTAGGGGTTATTTTAAAGGATCTAATAAAGGAATGTTGTGGTTGTTATAAATGAGGATGACAAACCATGTTAGGAAGTCGAAAATATTGTTTCTGTTTTGTAAATGTTCAGAGTTCAAAAAATTTGAATACGAAAATAAAAACAAATAAAAGACAAATACAGCATCTATTTGAAAATTCTATTTCTGGGTGTAGAGCATGTAAAGTACATATATTTTGACCATGGCTACTGTATATTTTCCATTTCGGACTCATTTAGGTAGTAAAAGTCAAAAGAATGAAAATCCACGTTTAAAGTGTTACAAATCAGATGAAGAATGCAGCAAAAAGGGGAAAAGTGCCGCTGAAAAGTAATAATGATAAAAATCACAATTGTTTATTACAACATATAACTTATATGAACAACACACTTAGGTTAGTGTTAACGTATACTTTTGTTTGAATATACTCACCAATATATTATATTCTCCTGGCACTACATCTTTAAACCTGCATGGTTTCTGTAATATTGAATTCCTGAAAGTCTCAGGTTATTAAGCTATATTTTCATTTGATTTAGCAATAACTGAAATATTATTGTGAAAGACTCAGGTTATTATGCTATATTTTTTATTTGATTTGGCAATATTGTAATTGCATTTATGATTAAAAAAACCGACAATATAAGCTACAAACTACATTATGTTTCAGGCCTACTCTGATAACTGAAAAATGTGTCGCAGACAAACTGAATGGTTCGTGATATAAATACTATTGTGACCAACCATCTCACAATGCCAAACCAATTAACTTGCTATCACAATGTTTATTTCTTAAACAATTTTTAATCCAATATAACGCGATCTTTATTTCTTTAAAAAACACCTAAGTAATTTCTTTTCATTTATTTATGAGACAACTACTGTTATTTTGAACATGCATGTAATTAATTGCTACTTTTTCATTTTTAACAAACCAATAAATACGTAATAATTTTCTTACACTCATTAAGCAAAAAGCACTAAAATGATGTTTATGATGATCTCATTCAATCATTAACCACAAACAATAGTTTTAGTCACAATTTAGTCACACAAAAACGTGGAAAAAATAAGTTGCAAGCAATGTCATAAAAACTTATTTCTCACAATATTGTGCGATAATGAAAAGATCATACATAAATTCACGTGCATTAAATTAAACCAGAAACTGTATTTTATATGAAATGTTACTTCTTAATAACTTATATCAAAAGATATGATGCAAAGGCGTGAATACAAACTACAAGAAGTAAACGAAATTAACTGCCTCTAATCAATGTTGCGCAATAAGACGATATCAAATATTACACAGAACTCAATAAATACGTGAGAATGTGTATACACTCAATAAGCCAAAAGCATTAAAAGGGAATTTTAAGATGACCTTTTACAACCATAAACGACAAACAATAGATTTTTTAAAACTTGATACTCGTTTTTTGCACCAACAGTATCAATAATCCATACTTGTTAAGCTCTTAGATTACCTTGGATGAAAGAGAGATGGTAAAATGGTCACTTTTGTCATTGTTTTGGCCAACATATTTATTTAAGAAAACGTCGCCCTCAACGATTCCGTATTTCGCCTGTGGCGGTACGTAGGAGAATGTGACGCTATGATCTGAGGTCAGACACACATTGATGGTGAAGAAACATTGACAATGCTGCACCCTGTCTGCTATAAAGAGACAAAAGTTAAGCTGATGAAAACACCTTTCCTTATCCAATTATATTCTAATATTTCTAACGCAACTATTGTCCAATGATGTAATGTATACGTACCGAGTATAATTATAACTAAATACATAAATTACATGGAACTACATTATGCAAAAAAAAACATTGTGTTTTCGACAATAACTTCCGAAAAATTAAATGAGATTGTTCTAAGCGTTTGTCGAAATAATCGATCGAATTATAAAGCTGATTGGAAATGTTTCATTGCTCTCAGTACCCTGTCAATTCTATTGTAATACTGACAATCAAGGAATGAGTAATGAAACTTCGTTATACTACCACTATTAATGCTGAGAAATGTTGGCTTAATAAAATACAGAGGTTTGGCGATAAGATAAGGGAAGCGTATAAATGGAAAGGATACTTTATGTAATTCTGTATTACGAATAGATGGGTTACTTACTCTCTTGATCTGTTTTTGGGTTAACGGGACAGAGTTTCTGAAAGCAGACGAAAACAGTGTTACTGACTATTTAACGTAGATCACCTGTGAGCATTATAAGTGCTTAAAGACACTTTACATGCCAACGCCAGCTGTTTTTTTGCCAAATGATTTCATGAAGTTCTCCTACGGTTTACGCAAGAAAGTGAACGCGTTTATACAATATAAACAATGCAGCTCCAAAGCTTTACCAATGAATTACAAACAAGCTCAAGTCAACACACTGAACAACCCGGTAAAGTCGTTATCAGTACAAATCATAGGGAGTAACGCCACACACTGACGTAATCAATATAGCTACTAACAGTATACGTACACTTTTCTAACAACATAAAGCTACACAAAATAAAAAAAGGAAAATCATCTGATATATACTTTTTTTTCTCGCACAAACATTCTTGAGTAAACATATATACTCCTATAAACTATACATAAACTGTCCATCCTGACATCTTAGTCGATTTATAGAGGATCTTAAATTCGTGTCCATGTCATATTGAATGTATCAAACGGGTACTTCAAACACAATTATGTGTTATCAGAAGACTATATATATAGGTCAAAACTAAAGTACTGCGATCATATTATTGTCTTTCTGCGCAGTGCAAAGTAGAAGCTCAAGATTTTGTTTAAAATAATGAACAGTTTTAAATGCAATGAATATAAAAATAACAAAAATTTGCATTTTCAAAATTATTCAAATAGCAGTAAATGTGTGGTGTGCCATAGTAAATAAAAGTAGTACCTGTAGTGGCATTGGAATATGTTGCCATGGTTTTGACCAATCGTTGCAACGCCTTTAGGTTTTATTACACGTTTGTAATACCATATTACATGTAGACATGGTCTTATGACATAGTAAAATGAGTGAGTTGTGTGATAACTTTTTTTTTTAAAAGAAGAATTGCTTAAAGAACCACATTGTATCGGTACTCTCTTCTGATTTTAATATATGACTATCATAAGTAATACAGTGAGTAACGAAACAGTTATTCGCACTCAAAACAATAAAACAAATGCAAACTGTAAACAGTGGGACAATTTACACAGGATTCGGAGATGGACCATTTATCATAAACCACAGTAATAAGCCGTCCCTGTCGGCAATTGCAATGTTTCAAGCAACTTCGAGGTTAACTGCTGATGTAGAAAATAGTACTTAGTGTCAACTTAAAGGGGCTATATACGACACCGACGACAATGTTCTTTTGTTTGTTATTTAGACAACACATCATCGATATATCTGACAGTTAAAATGAAGGGCTTTGCAAGGCTGTTTAAATGTGATCTCATAAATAAACCAGTTAAATTGATGTAGCAAGTTTTCGCCGTAATCATATGTATGAACTTCATGCTGTAATATAAAATTCCGGATTCGAAAACGTTGGAAAAATAATTAACTCAGGCCTAACAGCCTCCGTCAAACATTACTAGAAATGCATAAAAAGGAAACAGGAAACAGAAAGAATTTAAAAATTATAAATAAACATTTTACCTCGCAATATCACCATGACAGTTTCCTAAGTTTTCTCACATTTGGTATAACCACCATAAAATACGTACATCTGTTGCCTATTCTTAAACATCCTATATTTTGGTAATATTACCTACCCAAGACGGGCCAGGAATACTAATATTGTTAGCATATGGTACAAAATTGAATATTGTCGCGGTGTTGAAATGCTCCCGTGTTTTACGTTAATCAGATCAACGCGAACATCTCCCCACGCGAATATATATATATATATATAATAAAAAGTGATTAAATGTCCATGTGAAGGAAGTAAATATAGAAAAAATAAAATTAACGACCGACTAAAAAACTAGCTGCTTTCACCCTTCACAGGGCTCTTCAGGTTTATTCAAAAGAGAACAACGTCGTGACGTCACAATTACATGTCATCACACTACAATAGTAACGTGACGTCACGAAGTACACAAGATTGGTGGACAATTTGGCGTAAAATTTTATTGTGGCCTGTTGAGACTCGGTTTTAATATTTTTATTAGTTGGTCTTCTTTCGTTTCTCTTAAAATAGTGTCTGATGAAAATAGTTGATACAAAGGTAATACATTAAATTTATCTCCAGCACATTCATGAATATGTTTGTTAACATGAAGATTTCGTAAAGAATCAGTTCTAGTTTGTTGTCTATGTACAGTCATACGTGTTCTGAGTTCATTACCGGTTTGACCGATGTAAAAATCACCACATTTAGAACAAACGATTGCATAAATTACATTTTTTGATTTACAATTCATATTTACCTTCACAGTAAATTTCAAACCATTCTTGAAAATAAAAGTATTACACTCGATAATCATAGGACATGTAGCACATCTTTGTATAAACAAAATATTAAAACCGAGTCTCAACAGGCCAGACTTAAATCACATTTGTACATGCATTCAATATACAGCTTTGAACTCTCAAAAGAGTTGTTAACTATGTTCATGTCAGTAAATTCTGATAACAATCTATTCACTTAAAGTCAGACTTAACAATGATGTAAGAGAGTAAGCAAAGCATTGGTTGCTGGTCCTTAATATGACTGATAACTTCAACCTATGTCAGCTGGTCTCAAATATAACAACATATCTCTCATCGTTATCGGGAATAATGAAAATCATTGTTTGTTTCAACTGATGATGTTTTACCAAGGCTGAGCCACAGATGAGACAATTGATGAGAGACTAGATATAATTAACATAATTAACATATTACATCATGAATCAGTCCTGAAAATTAAGTCCTGTAACATCTCATGGTCTTGATTAACTAAGAACTACTTCGGATTATTTTGTAATTGTTTCCTGTCAATTCTCAATTATAGTCCTATCGGTGATGTCATTACGGAAGATCTTAGCATTGTTGATACTATTAAACACAACATAACAAGAAACACTAGCTGGAACTCCAACTTAAGATCAGAATTAGATGATGTTAATTGTTCGCACGAAACAGAAATAAGTTCAGGCATGCACCATTTCTATCTGTTACTGCTCCAAATACGCATATGTAGATCTATATGTCTATTGTATCTAAGCTGGTGAAGTTTAAAACTGTACAAAACGATCCTGTATGTTACTGTTGTCAAGGACAATGAATCGACCCACCATGGAAATAGGTTAATAGTTGCGCCAGTTATGGCAGCTTCGAACAATGGGGAGCTGTTCGAGTTTTTAGGATACATAGATTATATAGCAATAATAAATCGGTTATATCAAAGTTTATTGACAATAATTCAATACAATGGTGTCACTTAATCATTACAGTGCTACCACTTAAACAGATGGTAATTGTAAAACAATTATAATGATAAGGCGATATCGCCATAATAAATTAGTGATACTAAGTTAACATTATTTATGTGATTAAATTATCGATATTACTTATATAGAATACTAACGGAAACATTGTTCCGTAATTCTTATATGGAATAATTATTAAAACATGTACAGTGTTCCATTTGGAATCTATTTATTGTAGCAATGGTAATGTTACATGTGCTGCACCGTTTTATCGACCATTTGAACCGTTTGATGTTTCCAATAAGGATTGTCGACAAACCTATCTTGTCATTCGTCTATCATCAACACTTGAACTTCTAAAATATACTCTAGTCCATTAATTTGCACCGTGATATCTTGCACAAAACCGTTTATATCGTGTTTTGCATAGTTTTTGACCTTTCCAACTTAAATTCTTCCTCGTGTTTGACTCTCGTATTGGTAACAGTCAAAGATGATTTTATAAACCTTCCTACTCGTATCGATGTTCTACTATACCCTGAACGAGTATTGTAGTCAGTCTTAAAATAATAAAAGGAAAGTTGTGTTAAATAATTTGTATGACATTATCAATTTTTCTTTGGCATGAATGTCGATTATAAGAAACTATATATTAATTCATTATGTCTATGGATACAAGAAGCAGCCTCAGAAACTGACCAAACACATAAAGCTTACTATCAGCTGATCTGTTAAGCATGCGCCGCCTTCCATCTCAGATCTGTTATAAAAACCATCAGAGGCCTTTGGCCACGTTGTTCTCTTGGCATATTACTGGACTTTAAACTTTAAACTGCTGAATTAAACTGTCGTTTGCCTATTCTTTCTTGGCAGGTCCCGTAAACAAGAGACAGATTTCTGTTATATAATTGAACAATGATATAGTTTTTCTTCGTCCATTTGAATATCAAATGGATACATAGACAAACCTATCTTGTCATTCGTCTATCATCAACACTTGAACTTCTAAAATATACTCTAGTCCGGGTGATAACATTTCCTTTGATAATTTGATATTAATGACATTTTTGATCCCCAATGTTTTTGCTTATCAGAGCTATGTCATTTAGTACATTTTTATGTTAATTGGAAATATTGGCGGATTGGTCGAGTGGTTAACACTCCGGCCTTCCATTCAGGCGGACAGGGTTCGATCCCCGAAGTCGTAGTACGCAAATATTCAGAGAAAGTGTTTTTCTCCCGCCCACACAACTCTAACCACCCAGGTGAAGTATAAAATGGTCTGGGTGGATGTTGCGGTATCTGTGCTGTAGCATTCAAGTGAGGTGGCACTATAAATGATACTGTTAAAAGCACGGTCCCACTACAAACAGAACACAATACATTTCCAGCACACACGAAGACATACACACATAGGGAAATATTAACCAGATGGCTTTAAAAGTAATTAGCGTCTTATAAGGCAGCTCCTGCGAATTCCTCAAAAGGGTATTGATAAACGTATATGATAATTGTATTGACTGTATGAGTGGCTTATTCTAGCTAGATAGGGCGCTATATCAAATGTTGTATATTATTATTATATTATAGTATTCGAAACATTGATAATTGGATTCACTGTCACTAAGACCTTGCATGGATGTTTTTTTACAGGAGGTGTGGTTGTTCCTGTCACTATTATAAATACCACATCTTACACGACAGGTATACGGTGAGATAGTTTGTCCTCATCACGTGGTACATGTGCGACTGTTTACGTATTAGTCTTCACGGCACACTTGCCCCAGATAAAAAGTCTTTAATATCAATAAGGATCCACTAGCCTAATATCACGGTATGCTATAGTTTGCAGACATGTTCCCACTTAATGAAAAAGCAAAAATCATGAAAATACTTGCTGTTACATTTCGATAACATTGTCAAAATATAAACTACATGCTAAGCTGATAACCCCATTCGCCTTAACTGTTTGTTGTAGAGGCTGATATCGCTGTCATTTTTTGAAATCAATTTCTTTATCCAGACCAAGCTTATCAGCTCGCCCTTTCAGTTTACAAGGTAAAGATTTCAAGATTGGCCAACCTAATACATAGTCGATATGATATACATTTAGTATCATCTTACATATATTGCAATGCACAGTCCATCAATCAATACAAATCATTCACAAATTAGCAATGTTTATAACCAAAAGAGCTTTATAATACACATACAGTATATATGTAAATGTTTTCATGCAAATTTCGTTGACCTCTTATTTTAAGTGGTGTTGAAATCAATTTAAATTTTACTAGATAAAAAAGAAATTATGCTAGCGTTCATTTATTTTGCGCAGACTTTATTTTGAAAATCTACCCCCCAGGTACTTACATGACAAGTAGATTCATTTATTCATGTTTGATTCAACTTGAATTTTGTGTAATGGATGCATTACTAACTAATCACGTGATACTTCAATTCTCAAGTGGTACTAGTTAATTTATTGGCCAATACGTATTTTATAATGATGAATCATAAGTTCAAATTGAACTGCCCAAAAACATTCTCCAAAATAACTTTTTTTCTATTTTGTCAGTGTGATGTTTAAAAACCTGACAAGCATAAATAGTATCATTGTATTGACTAATCTGCAAACAATAATCCAAAACTTCTATAGTATAGTATAATCAGACATGTCGAATTTTTTCAAGATATAGGCCAATATACAAATGGACTTTTACGGATATCCATTTCTGTACTCAGATTAATACAAACATTTGTTCATCTTGTGCGAAAGAATCACCGGCCATTGACTTTCTTCTATCTCGGAGGAAAAGGAAGACACCACAATCTTGACTTCATGCCCTTGTAGTAGTTGGGAGAAAACTAAATTGGTAACCTCGTGAACTGAAGTTTGCAAGAAAAGTTAACACCTGTGCACTAGCATGTGGACTTCGGTTCACAAAAGACTACGGTAAAAGAAAGCTGAATGCAGTTAACCATCGGCTTGTCAAACAGACTCATTTTGAAAAAAGTTGCAAAATCGAACACACTGTTCAGTTTTGGCTACGTTTATTACATTTTTGCTAATATTTACCTGTCTGTTTGGTAATAGATATATACTGCGGTATATGTATCGTCTTCAGCCACAAGGCTCCATCAATAATGTAAACACTTCTGGAACACCTGGTCTTATTCTCCTTATGGGTGTCTTGGTGAAGTCTTTATTTTTCATATGTTGCCCTATTCTCATTTTGAGTTCGAGTTACAGTTTCATTTATGAATCGATATTCTCTTGTTTTATTTATAAAGCACTAGTGCGATAAATAGTTAGTTACTATGTCACCATTCATTATTCCTATCCGGAACGTTTTTGCGTTATCATGACGAAGGGGATACTGTCTCGAAAGTAGACAAAATCATATTCTGTAAACTGTATTGTTCGCACTCTCACGAAACTATTTACGACATAAGTTGTATGTTTTAAGTGTTGATTTTATTTTCTGTTTAGCTAGATATATTATTTCGGTGTTACTCCCATATAAGTTATAACTGAGGTTTGAATGTGAAAAAAATATGCCCTTTGCAATGAAATCAAATAGTTCTTTTTTACGTGTACGATTTGTTTTATTTACATAATTCTATACTTGCAAAACGTGGTAAGATTGATAGCGTTTAAATACATGGCAACAGACATACTTGCTCGTTTATACAGTTCCAAGTATACACCTGATTAAGTACACAATGTATTGCACCTAAAGTTTATAATAGTTGCACGATTATGTGTACTATGTTCATGGACAGGACTGGGGCTATGCCAGATATATCTACATATCTATATCAATTACCCTTTTCTGTATCTCAACACATTCAAATACCTTCTAAAAAGTAAATTCCACATACCTGGTTCTTCACTGAGCACTCCATTCCTGTAGTAAGCTGTTGCTGAACAGTGCATCTCGCGTTAATAGCAAAGCAGATAGTGCATAGTAGCTGGACAAACAACGTGTGTCCCTCCATTGAAGACTAGTAACCGGATGTACGGTGTACGGCATGCACCCGGGACCACATCATGGGATATGTTATCTTCATCTGTCAGTCAAAACCTGTAAATAATCTATAGGGATTGGCTCAAGCTGCCAGAACAGTCCAATCGTTTACAAGGTGTATGCTATTCACTCCCATTTGTTATTGTTAACAGCGAGATTGGTTATATTAAGGATACGTTTGACTTAAGGATCCTCATACCTCTGCCCTTAACTATTGAAAACTGTTTTTCCAGCATGACTATAGCTTTGATAAACCTTATCCGAAAAGAAAACCTTATATTGCCGGACTTTTATGAGAAACAATAAAGATGAAATAAACAAAAGAGTATCAACAACAGTGATCTAAATGTAACAAAATCAGCGTTGCTAGGCTGGGGTTTGAACCCTGGACTTCAGATTGATGTGCTATCGCTCTAACCGAGTGAGTTACCTTGTTCACAGAAGGGTAATGTCCAAACTATGAAACAGTTATATCCAAACGGAAGTTAGTGGGCCAGCACACACGCATGTATACACATATAGGGAGATATTACCCACGTGGCATAGGATTAGTAGTTAGCTTCTGATAAGGAAGCTCCTCAAAATTATGTTGTTTAATGTATTATTAAATGTGTATGTTAACTGTATTGATTGTATAAATTGTTTATAGATGTATTGTAAGGGCTTAAGAGTGGCTTATTCTAACTAGATGGGGCGCTATATCGAATGTTGTATATTCATTTATTTATTTTATCTATCGAGGAAATAATGATATTCGAAGCAAGCTCTTGAATGCCGAATCTATTGTGATGTGTGAATGCCACCGGTGAGGAATCAGCGATATTACTATCAAATAAGAGAAAGTTAACGATCGGAAAATCGAATCCCTTACGTTTATCATACAGTTCAATAGAACGCTGTTACGTTGATGGATGGTTAAAACTGTAATTTTGCAAAAACAAATAAGGGCCGATGTTTTGCATACACACCGTTGGTATTTGCGTTTGGAGCGTATCAAATGTTATAAGGTTAATTTTATTTAATAAGCCCCGATGCCGCATCATTTATGCATTCGTGCACATCAACAGGAACTATAGTCAATCATGCATTAAAATGCCCGAAAATTAGTTTAACTGATTTTAAGTTTGTATCCGTATAACTAAGTTATCTCTAAGGTATAAAGCTGTTTACTTTGTAGACCGAAGGCGAGGAAAAACTAGATTGCTCCCTCTCCATCCTCGATGACCAGGGGTAACACTCACTTTCGCTATCTGCACCCCTGGAGTACGTCAATTTGAAAGCAAATTTGAAGGCATGCATGCGGCAAGCTATTCGATTGGTCTCAGGTTAAAAAGGTTAAAAAACCTGACTAATCACTAGGCTGATACATGTTCTTTGAAGATTTTAGAGGAGCGACTCTCGACTTCAAAGCCAGTGAGTTTTACCATTAAGCGATCGCGAGATTCTTTTGATGTGCATCAAAGGTTCAAACTAGTCTTCTTGTTTTATCGACAAGTTGGCGCACACAGAGCCTTCACTTTTACTATGACATATCCCATGATTACAGAGAGCGAATTTGAGCGTAACCCTTGGATATCGAGGATGCTCCTTCTCAATAGGCAACGATCTGCTTTACAAAGCCACAGAACATATGATTAAAACTCATCAAGAGAACTGATTCAATATACAAGGAGCTGTGGTGTACATGCAAACAGTAAAATGTTAAAATAAGACCGGACAACAGGTACACCGATATGCTGGACGTTATCTCAGGTGACACAGTTAGTAGAGGATGGTATTTTATTAACGTTTGTTTGCTTACCGATAAGACGTTCGTTATTTGTTCCTGGTATCCAGCTGTTCAATAAAATAAATGTTTAAAACATAGATATTATAATGTCCGCGATGATATTTTACGCAAACAAATTCAGCATTTAAGGCGATTCTTTGGACGCTATTTTGACTGAACACTTACTATGTTTATGTTTTGTCTGTTACAATGTAGCAGTGTGTTTGTTATACATGACAGGACATCTGTCTGATCGAATAGCTCCAATCTATTATGTGTTTAGTACATGTACATAGTATCCAAGTATAGCATTTACCTTAGTATTTCCCATTTGCAGATGACATATAATTTTTCAACATTACTAGGTACCACCCTATTTAAACTACTATTTCACTTTCTTTCTATTATGTAGACTTGGATTTGTTTTCTTTGTTTTCATGTTGTCAACAGAAGAAAGGGGACATAACTATATTTGATTTGTAATTTGAATTGTAAAAAAAAAACATGTTTTCTGATATACGAGGTAAATGCAGCACGATGTTGAATGGAAGGGTGAAACTCATTAAACGATTAAGGTTTAGGCTTGTGATTGCAGTCATGATGTGGAATAATCGTTTTTATAGGTGACAGGATCGATAACACTGTCCTCAAACACGATAGAGGGTATGTCAAGATAAAACATGCAGATAAAATGTATGCATACTATATTATTGAAAATATCAGATATCTCAAAATACTGACGACAATCGTAAAATGTTTAATTAAATAAAAATACAAATTAACATACTCTTAGACAAATAAAGCATTGTATTTCAGCGACAAAACATGTTGCAAAATACCATACATTGTGTTATTTTCGCGTAATGCATTATGTAATGTTTTTCAAAATCGAATTACCTCATTTGAATCTTCGCGTTTTTAACTCAATGCCTATGCTATCATGTTAGTGTTTGGTATCTGCGATACCTATGAAATCGAATTATTGTAAAATTACTTATAAAGCGAAAATTAAGCACGTGCAAAATATATGTTATATAAGATGAATAAAATTATTTGTTACTGCTTTAAGTATTGATTAGATCTGTAGATCCAGGCCTCATACAGCTACGTTTTAATGTAGAAGATCTAAATTCAGGACTCTATAATTTATAAAAAGATCTAGATTCAGACTCAATTGTTATATTTGACTGCTACCAAAATAGCCCCTTTTCGGCAATATTTCGGACAATACACAACCATCATTATAACGATCACCCTAGTGGGCCCTCATTGTCTATTTCGTTGAATTTGCTGTCAATTAAGATGGCTATTTCATCCTGTGAATGATTGGCACACATCGAAGTTCGAACGTTTGTGTGTGTGTGTGTGTGTTTGTGTCGGATGCCATCTTTGTTGTTATGAAGAGAGATTCTGGTTTGAGTTATCTCCTCTCGCAAGTGCTTTTATAGACCCCGGCAAGATATCCAATCAGAAAGAGTGCTACAAATTAGAACGGTGACAAACGAAGATCTCCCTGCAGAATATACATGTAGATGATGAACAGGAAACAATGGAGTGATTCTGTACATAGGAACAGCTCTGTCACAGGTATCAACAATTTTTGCAATATCTTTCAATATCAAAGTAAAAGTTCCTGAAAATGCACAATGTATTAATAATAAAACAAAATGCAATGACAAACCTAAATAATGTGATTAAACTACTAACATACTTTGACGAAAACACTGTGTTATACATCATGACCTGTAGTTATAATAAAGACACTTTTGATTTTGATCTAATATACGATACATTGATACGGTAGTATGGTGCAGTGAATATTGTGTTATAACAGACTACCACAAGGAAGATAGTTGATTTGAAGTTTCTGTTCAGGACCATATATAGGGCTGATCTGGTAATATTCATTTGAGGCATGAAAATGTTGAAAGAAACTTTTGTTCCAATATGAAAGGTACTCCATTATTTTTTTTCAAATTAATACGTGCAATTCGTTTGAAGTTATTTCCATTGTTAAGGTGAGTTAGTGCAACTGAAAACCATATCTTGCAACACTCATGAAATGAAAATGTACATGTACAAAGGCATTTCGTATGGGCCCTGATGAAATTATATCCAAGTGTTGGAAATGAAAAAAATAGTACAAAATAATTCATATTAACACAAGGCTAAGGGGAAGTAGCTCATGAAGGAAACATCCCACACACCTCTTACACACTTACACACACATACACGTACATGTACAAAAATATTTATTTCAGCATATATATACACTATCATAGACAGATACTAAAAGGCTTAGACCAAAAAGTCCATGTGCATATATTGCACAGGTCACTGCTACCAACAACTGTTACAATTAAAAATAATAAATCAATTTAATACATATAGAGTGTAATTATTAACAATGTCAAGATAAGTACATGTAATAGTCAGTAGTCATGCTCAACTAGAATCTCCTGGATGTAATATAGAATATTTTTGTTTTAACATGTACATCGTGGCTTTAAGTCAAATAAAAATTAAAACGACGGGATTTTCCAATAAAAATATGCACATCATCAAGTATTCGTCTATTTGTAAGCCCATCACAATCAGGACAGCCCTGGAGAAGAATGTTTATATCAATGTGATTGTGGTTGCCATAACTATTAAGAGAAGTGAACAAAGTAGTTCTTTGATTAATAAAAATAGGACATTCTAAAAAATAATGAGATACTGTTTCGTGTTCAGCAGATCAGGTTCAAGCTGGACTATTAGTAAGATGGTCATGGTGTTACTCATAATTTAAATTACTACAAGAGTTTCGAAGTTGACATAGAATAATTTTTGCTCTTCTGTTGATTCACTATCAGAAACAATGTCTTTATTGAAATATTTTTTAAATGCTGCAGGAGAGGGAGAATTAAGAGGAACAGAATTTGCAGTGTTGATTGTGCGGCACATTTGAGGGAAAAAAACTGTCGAAATAGTTATTAGCTCTACATAACGGTGGGTTGAAAGGCCTAGTTTGTCTGAGAGGGTAGGGGTTATCATTTTGATTATTAATAAAGGGATTTAAAACATTTTGTAAGTATTGAGGTGTCTGCCCATGCATAATTTTGTACATCATTACATGTTTGTGTTTATTTCATCTTACAGATAGTGTTTCCCAACCTAGTTCATTGTATAGTTTGTCATGTGATACCCCAGAACGAAGACCTGTTATTATCCTAGCTGCTTTTAATTGTACATATTCAAGAATATTTTTTTGCCTGTTGTGTACATTCCAAAATTGGCCTAAAAAATCCCACATATGTTTTAATTAATTATTTTCTATTGACTTTAGTTTTGGCGTGGCGAAGCATATTAAGTCTATTGTAAGCTTTTTTGTATATATTCTTTATGTGCTGTTTCCATGTTGCATCATCTTGAAGTGTAAGTCCTAAGTGCTGATGTGATGATGTGTCTATGGTTTGGCTATTTTGGAAATATAGTGGGATGGGGTGGGTGACTTGTTTTCTAGAAAATAAGAGTGATTTTGTTTTACTTGGATTGAATGTAATGTCCCAAGTTATCTATAATTACATACAGAGAAGTGTCATCAGCAAAAAGTTTGATATTGGTGGAAACATTAGTGGTGATATCATTGATATAGAGAAGAAAAAATAGTGGTCCGAGGACAGATCATTGAGGTACCCCTGCATTTACATTCCTAAATTGTGAAAAGTAACCTTCGGTATTTACTCTTTGAATTCTGTTAGAGATGATAATTTTCAAACCACGAAAGTAAATTTCCATTTATACCATATAATTTCAATTTAAATAAAAGACCTTCGTGCCTTACTCTGTCGAAGGCTTTACTGATATCACAAAATACAAATCGAAGCTCCTTTCCTTTATCCATATTACTTACAATTTCATTATAAATAAACAGAAGCTGATTGACAGTAGAATCACTAGGTATAAAGCCAGACTGATGCTTAGTAATAATATCATTCTCAATCAGAAAGTTGTATAGATATTCAAAAATAGTTGTTTCTATTATTTTACTGAGGCATGATGTAATTGAAATTGGTCGGTAATTTAACACATCATTAGATGATCCATTTCCTTTATAAATAGCATTAACATTTGTTTGTTTCCAACTAAAAGGTTTTATACCAGACTCTAGTGTCTTATTGAATAATAACATAAGATGTAATTTGAGAGAAGCATAAAGCTTTTTCACAATTTTATGGAAAACACCATCAGAGCCTGGAGGTTTATTAGTGTTGAGTATATTAATTTGATCGGAAACATCTTTTTCAGTGATATGAATGTTTGATAGTGAATGGGGGGCATTGGGTTGTGCTGTTTGTGGTAATTCGAGGTCAGGTGTTGATGTAAAATAGTAGTGAAGTGATTGTTAAGAAGCTCTGCTTTGTCAGTTGGATAATGGATTATTTGGCCGTTGGATTCAAGTGGTGGAATAGAAGATGATTTATTAGAAAAATTGGTTATAGATTTGTCTGAAGTAACCACATTGTCATTTAGTGATTTTTCAAGATTTTTTATATAGTTTGCTTTTTTAAATACAGAATAAGAAACTGAAGCATGTACTGAGGAGTGATCACTGCAAAATGGTGGAGATACATGAGTATTTTTAACTATGTTTTGGTAATAAGTCACTGGTAGGTGTTATTCTTGTTGGTTCATTAATAAGACGAAGTAGATTATGTTTGATAAGAAGTCTTGATAAGTGATCATTCAACGGGAGATTTAACATATCGATATTGATATTACCTGTCAGTCCCATATCCAGTGAAGTTGCTCTGGTCAACGTATCATCTAATTGGTAACAGTTCATCTCGGCACTTGGAGAGTTCGGCACTTACGGTTCTCCCAATATACATTTTGAATGACATTTCAATAATGACAATAAATATATTTAATTGTTACATGTATTACAATTTGATCTCAAAATCTCTTGCTGGATTTAATAAAGTTTTGCACATATCTAAAAATGTTTGAGTTAAGGTCCATAGAAAATTGTGAATTGCCAAACAAAAATATTTCTAAATTTGACGTAACATTCAAATTATTTACATTTTGCACCAGAATACGTCTTCCGTTTGTAATTCCATAAAATAGCGAATGACATTCTCACAAGGATGACCACAATTACAAGATGCACTCTCAACTAGGTTAACTCTAAAAATGTCATAATTAAGCGAACTGCACTGGTGTCGGAGCTTGTAAGCAAAATATTAAGTTTACGATTTCCGATTTTAAAGTAAAAAGGTGGACTTAACGGAAGATTTGATGTTAAACATGATTTGAATGGGTTTGTAGAGGGCAGGGATCGAACGAAATTTTCTAAGTTATTCCAACAATAGAGTAGAAGGTAGAAAAGAAGAGTTTTTTTGGGGTCTTTTTTTAATAATTTATAAAAACAAAAAACATTATTCAAATTGACAACAGATAATAACATTATACTTTTTTATCTGATTAATATTAGTGAGATAGTTTTTGTTACTGTCAACAATTAACAATAAATTGTAAAATGCATATTACGCTTAGTGATTAATAGTATAATCAATGTTATAACAAACGTTTTCATTTTAACATGTACGACACGATGTTTTAGATTAGATACAGTAAGCTTAATACTGGAAATGGATATAGTTGGTATGGTCTCATAATTGAATTTCATTAACAAATATTTATATCAGTTGCTAAGAGCAATATTCAAATACCAGTAACAGGTGTTATACTGCATTATTAATTTACATAATCGATAGGTATGATTTTAGCAAATGATCAGATGTGACAATGGAATTATAAATCATACTGATGGATTTTGGCGTAGATTTGTGTTTAATTAAAAGTTAACATCGATTTTGAGTGGAATGCTAGATAAATAAAATTAGCCGGTCCTCGGAATTGACATAGGAAATTGATCACACAAAAGGAGCTCAAAATACACAATGTATAATTTAAAACTTCATGTGCAACGAAATAAATACTTTTTTTTCAGCATCAATAAACCCATTAAACGTGCAAATCATCATTATGATTTAAACTTTTATTAATATAGATTTAGTCGAAATAAGGCTATTGTAAAGAGGTACAAAATGTGATTGAAATGGAAAGCAGTGAACAGATGTCAGTTCTAGACATGCTTTCCGTGTTCAAAAAGACTGTAGAATAGACTCATTTCACTAAATTATGTTGACCCCCTATTTGGCCAGATTGTCATGGCCCTAAATGACCAACGCTGTCGATGTGTTGTTGAGCAAAGCAAGCAAACTAACTAACAAACTACATGTAACTTAATAATTCACTGTATTGTACTAGAAAGTAATAAATATAGAACTTTCATATCTGCAGTAGCTACTAATATATGTGTATATTCATATATATCTTATTAAAATTATTCGTTAACTGCATTACTTGCTACTACAATTTCAATACTATATAAAGATGTTTCCAAAACTTATTTGCAGGTGTGTGTGACTTCCTTTAGGTCAGAAGAATCTAGCTTGTACCCACCTCATACTTAAGGCATTGTTGATTCAAATACATTTTTTTGACTAGCTGACAGATTTCCATCTAATGCTCGTATTATTATAAACCCAAGCTCACAATAAATTTAATGTTTCCTGTCCATTCGTATAGCGCTGATATTATGTCGTCTGTTTATATTTGTTTCAGAGATCAGCGTCAGCAAAATGTTTCTTTTTATTTGCAGTTATCGGCAATATAAAACAGGCGTGCGTTTATAATGAACCGTGCAAAATAATTTGGGGACAAAATAGCTCACATTATGTTACTACCACATATTAAGAATATTATATAAATCATATTAGAATTATACAACGTTTTTTTGGTACATTTATTTGAGTACCATGTTTTTGACAAATCGATGACTAGTGTATACTAGAATTTAATAAAATGCCACATTAAGTTGTAAACTATCTGATATAAATCATGTAGAAGCACAGCACTGTCATAGGTTACTACGTATTGTATCACCTTATGTAATTTAGCAGTAGATTTTGTTTATTATTCACTTACTGTGTCAACATGGGTAAATCGTTCATGCCGTATGGGACCTTTATATTTTCACAAATGATATATCATTTTGTGTCAATTAACTTAAAATTAGTATAAACAATCGATTACCAAACGTTTGTTATTGTTAATTATGTAACTGAATGACTGAGCTTTGCAAGTGTAAAATTGATGCAGGATTCGAGAGAAATAGACATTTTACCTTTAGCTGACTGAAAAAAAATATCATGAAACCAGAACTTAATAGTTTGCAAAGAAAACCTTCTGAAGTAAAAAATAAAACAAAGATAAGACATAAGTGGTAATGATTTGCAGATTCAAACATCGCCTGGCAACGTATCCATTGTCTTCCAACGATACAAATTTATATTTACCTATAAAGTACATCATCAAATACAATAGCGGTTTCTCCAGGACAACAAGAGCAGGTGATTTTGAAGGATGAAAATTTCCTGCAGCACATGTGGAAACCGTGCATGACGTCAAATCTTGTAAAACACGATTTGATAATTATTAATAACATAAAGAAAACTGTTATCATGTTTTACAATGACGTTTCAAATTTCTAAATCGGATCATTATGACGACAGTACATGTTCCTGAAAATGTGCATGTCATTACTGAACAACCGGACATACCCGCTGTCTTTGCTAACAGCGTTGAAATGTCATAGTTGATTAGTTAGGAGTCTTTTTCTTCATAAATCCATAATTGTACACGTGAGGTCATATTCTTTGCGAAAAGAAACTTTTTAATTAAGAAGTTATTTCTCAGCCGTGATTTAGGTCGTTGGTTATCGACAACAGTATTACAGGTTAGGTAAGAGACATCATGACGTGTACAACACACGGTGCAGGAACATATTATCGTTGTCTCAGCAACTGGTGTCACCTCGAATGTTTTGTATTCGCAATGCTGGTTGTTCGGTTTATTATTATGCCTAAGTAATTGTTTCTTTATCTTTTCTTACTCATAGGGACTTCCGATATTGTCCGTGTGTGTTGACAATTGGGTATGGTCCTATGTTAAGAAAGTCATTTGTAATTATTGATGAAACAAATAACTTTGGTTGAAGAACACGACGTATGTACATATAAATAAGTTAAAAGACTCATGGACGATTGTATAAAGGATAGGCAATAAATATACAAAAGATAGCCACTAAACTATGAAATAATACGAAAATTAAAATATTTCTTTTTTTTTTAGATTTGTAAACAATTACTTAAAATTTGAATTTCTATCATTTTTTATTTTTTTTATTTAGACTGATAATTATGTATATAATGTTGTGGCCCCGTAATACTGGGTATAAATAGGTGGATACAGATTATATGTAAGCAAAACCATTAAGTGTTACAGAACAACCAAGTTCAAGTTCTTTATTACCTTGGGTCTTTTGACCCATCGGTTTCAAAAGTGCATGTAAGATATATTTACAATATCTACAGACAATACAATACAATACAATACAATACATGCAATACATAAAATGCAATACCAGCAATGTACAAACAGTTTGGAGAGTGTAACAAATTAAGTTAATTGGTTTCTTCTTACATTTGCCGCTTTTATATATTTGGCCAAATTGACAAGTTCTTTTGTGTTATTTACATTAATGGGAATTAATCATATCAAATTAATTCCGGTTATCTTATGAGGAGTCGAAAGTCTCAGAATTTGTATAGGAGTTACCTCCCTTGGACCTTTTCGTCTACTTTGCTCCTTGAGAAATCTTCAGCTTTGGAGATAGGAACTAGTAGCCATACATTTAAAGCAAAGGATTAGATTGTTCATAATTTACAGTTTACTTTTCCAAATTTCATTTAACTCTTCCGGGAAGTCATCACACAATCCCACAGGGAAGGAAGACAGGCCTTTTGTCTGCAGCGTTTTGTGTTGTGGTTACGGCCGGGGTATGAGAGGAAAAGGTGTCAGAAAGTCGAGACGGCCATCGTCCAGCCCATATTCAGGCCGGCCAGCAGCTGGAGCCCGGGGTGGTGGTGAGCAGCATGAGAGGCCTTCTAGTTCTGAACAGCCAGGAGTGGGAGGACCCCTGTCCCCACAGCAGCTGGAGGACGTAATCGAGCAGGTGTCAACTAGGCTGGCACCTCAGCTGGTGGAGGCTGTGCATCAGGCTATCGAGCCTCGGATGGCTGTACAGCCGTCAGGTAATGATACCAGTTTGCCCCAAACTTCTAACGTGTCAATTTGTCACACTAGTAATGTTGATACTGCCTGTTCTCAACAATCAAACAATTTATGTAATGACCTATTCGATCCTAGAGCTCACCAAGTGGCCAGTGTAAATGACGAGTTAGGACGAAATGTTGTTTCAGCGGTTCGTCAAAAAATTATTAACAATGAGTTTGTTGATCTTGGTCAATTGCTGGCTAAACCTGCTCCCTTAGATGAGGCCAAACTTTTTTCGCTTGTAAACGGGGAGCTTGTTGTTAAGGGTAAAATCAAGAATCCCAAGATTGTTGATATTGATATGTGGACAGATGCGTTTACAGTTTTCATATCTATCTACACTTCTGCTCATCCTGCAGACATTGCCGGTCTTTTGAAATACATGCACACTGTCCGCTTAGGTGCTAAGAGGGCTGGGGGTGTAGCTTGGAGAAATTACGACGAGCAATTTCGCCTTAAAAAAGCACAAGACCACTCCATACCTTGGGGTCAAATTGATCAAGAATTGTGGCTTTTGTTTATGCATGCCCAAGTTAGTGTGTCAACAACTACTAAAGCTGTTAATCGTCCAAACCCTGGTATCAAGAAATGTTTTGATTTCAATAATGGGTCCTGTAATAGGAGTCCCTGCTTTTTCAAGCATATTTGCTTAAATTGTAGTGGGAATCATAGGCGTATAAACTGTCACAACAAACCTCAAAATACTGACCAGAATGTTAACTCTGCTTTTAGGTCAGGCAGTGCCCAGCCTACAAGTTTCCAAGACAAGGGTAACAACAAATTTGTCAGGCCTCGGGCAAACCCCAATTAACAGTCAGTTGTTAGAAAATATGCTTCAAGGGCATCCAGATAGGGATCTAGTCAACTATTTAGTTTCCGGTTTCCGTTCGGGTTTCCCGTTACATTACGAGGGCCCACGTGTTCATACTGCATGTAAAAATCTGAAGTCTATTTTTGGTAATGAGGAGGCTGCTCTTAATAAAATAGATTCAGAAGTTCTAGCTGGGCGTGTTGCAGGGCCTTTTGATTATCTCCCTTTACCAACTTTAAGAATTTCACCTATTGGCTTAGTGCCCAAGAAAGATGGGTCCTGGAGGCTTATTCAACACC